ACAATCGCATCTAGATAGCTCTCCATAAAAAAAGAAGTATTGAAGATGTTGGCCAATAGAATATTGCATGTTGTCACAGTGGTGAACTGTTTGCATAAGTAAGTAAAATTTCATTCAGCTATAATATATGTTGTTAAAGCCGCACAATGCGCATCCAAACGCTAATTTCTCCAGTACTAGACTAGCAAATACTTCGTGTCATGCATAATCACACTACCTTATGACAAAATAAACTCTAGTTGCTCCCATTTCACTGCGCGATTGCTTAAAACCCACAAGAAAGAGGTGAGAAAACTGGCATTCTGGCGCAAACGCCGACTGTTTGCCAAACAAGATGGCCTCGAAGTGGTGACGTGACGTCACATGTTTTTATCTTTGCTGCGGCCGTACCGCTGTACCGCAGCACCGCTGCACGGTTGCTTGGGGATTGGGGAAACTGTCAACAACATCGGAGAATTTCAACAACATTGGAGGTATTTTCAAAATACCTTTTATAAGACAACGTGCAGTGAGATGGGTGGAACTAGAGTTTATTGTGTCATAAGGTAGTGTGATTATGCATGCCACGAAGTATTTGCTAGTCTAGTACTGAAGAAATTAGCGTTTGGATGCGCATTGTGAGCCTTTAAGCGCAATTGAAGATATCAAAACTGATTTCTGGCTTTATGAAGACTTCCAATATCTACACTTCATGTAACATTGGTTTTGTTATCTTGCAGAATTGAAAGGCTGTGGAGAGATTTGTTTGTTGGTGTGACAAGCATATATTCACACCTGTTCAGTTCAATGGAAGACACTGGGATCCTGGATCCATTGAACGAGGGTCATCTCTGGGCTCTGCACTATGTCTTTCTTCCGAGAATCCAGAGTCATTTGGCACGATTCATGGAAGCCTGGAACAATCACCCAATAAGGACTGCTGGAAGTCGCACCCCAAATCAGCTGTGGATTCACGGTCGCTTGAACCAGTTTCATTCTGAGCAGCTAACTGAGGTTAGTTTTAGCTTCCTATATTTTAGGAATTCCGATAGACAAGGTAACGCAGGGCAACAAACGCTGCTAGAATGTTACACATTAAATAGAACTGCATCTGGCTTGGTATGGTTATGCAGTATGTGTTTGCTCCATTTATGATGTATTTTTAGCTCATCTCATGTATAGATGATGTGAAATATATATATTTTTAGAGAGTATCTTGGTGCGCTGGGGATAGATGCCACCTTTTAACTAGCTGAGAAACAATCTTATCAGGTAAGAATTGACGATACGTTTAGTCCCGTAGTTCTTACTTTTAATGTAAAAAAATGCAACAAAAATTTTACAAATTTTACCATAGAAAATTCGTGACGTAATCACTAACAAACAACTGTGCTAGTTAGTAGTAGGTCTCAGGGGAGAGA